GGGATCAGGGTAGGGGTGGGGGAGTAACAGTCCTCCTCCTCGGGAAGCTCTGTGGTTGCTGCAGTCACCTTGCCCTTATTTTGGGAGTGCTGAACCAAGATCACATTTCTGTTCTAATCAGGCCCCTCTGGATGTCTTCTCCCAAGCCCTCTTACCCCACTCACGCTTCCCAACCCGTCCCCAGCCCTGACTCTGCTTTCATCCCGGTGGCCTTAACTGCAGTGGAGGCAGAACTTCTGATCATTCCAGGTAGAAGAGCTTCATCTAGCCCTGTAACTGAGCCTGTACCACGATGCTTGCTGTGCTGCCCGCCCAAGCAAACTGGGCTGTCAGGGCAGCGGGCCTGGCCTGGAAGGTGGAGCTGCTGACAGGTGCAGGGGCCACTCGGACTCACAGCCCCTGCTCTAGAGATGTCTTGTAAAATAGGCTGTATGTCATGAATAAACATCCAACCTCCAGCCTGTGGTCCGAGTAGCCAGGTTCCATGCCCTCCACGATTTTAGCTGCTACCTGTCTTGCAGCTGCCCTGCCTGGCGTGTGAACCTGGAGTTTCCGTACAGATGAGAGACCCTGCTCCTCTCCACCCCAACACGTAGTCACGCTCAGACCTAAAGGCTGTCAGAGGTTGCTGGCTGGGCTCGAGGGAGGAGCGTGCCCCAGGGAGAAGCTTCGCCGCCGCCCCTTTGGAGCCAGCGGGCCCCTCCCATTGGGAAGAGCTGACCCCTCTGCGTGACGCCCCTGGCAGTCATTGGCTGCAGGGAAGCGCCCAGCTGCATCCTGGGAAATGGAGTTCCCAACTGGCACCTAGCGACCAGGTCCTGGGGGGCGGGGAGAAGTGGCCTTGCGTCCTGCGGGAGGCCCCTCCCCCTCAGGCAAACAGACTGGGACGCCTCGGTGTGAGCCTTTTTTCATTGCAATTGCGCCCGCGGTCGCCGGGTGTCGGGTGTCGCGTGTCCCCTCGGGACCGTTTGGAGTGTCGCGGGGCACTTCTGGGTTCAGCGTGTTGACGGGCCGGAGAGAGCCATCACTGAGGCTGTACTGGGGCTCGCACCGAGGCCGGTGCTGCCCGGGGTTGGTTCCGGCGCTGGCGTCGGGGCCATG